TCGGATCCAAGTGGACCCGTGAAGACCTCTAATCCCACGTAGCATTTATGCCATTATACATATCTCAATATCTCAGCTCTGGAAGGGTCTAGAGCCTCCATTTTTGCACTCAAGTCTGTCCCATGGCCCTCTATCAGAATCCAGAGTTTCAAGAAGATTAGAGAAACTTATTTTTCCGCACCAAAAAAACGACAGGGGTACCACTGTCGTTTTTTTGGGGGGTCGAAATTTTGAGTTTCTCTGATCTTCTTGAAACTCTGGATTCTGATAGAGGGCCATGGGACTTAGACCTGAGTGCCAAAATGGACGCTCTAGACCCTTCCAGAGCTGAGATATTGAGATCCCACGTAGCATTTATGCCATTATAAATATCTCAGCTCTGGAAGGGTCTAGAGCCTCCATTTTTGCACTCAGGTCTAAGTCCCATGGCCCTCTATCAGAATCCAGAGTTTCAATAAGATTGCAGAAACTTATTTTTTCGCACCAAAAAAAAAAACGACAGGGGTACCACTGTCGTTTTTTTGGGGGGGGTCGAAATTTTGAGTTTCTCTGATCTTGTTGAAACTCTGGATTCTGATAGAGGGCCATGGGATTTAGACGTGAGTGCAAAAATGGAGGCTCTAGACCCTTCCAGAGCTGAGATATTGAGATCCCACGTACCATTTATGCCATTATAAATATCTCAATATCTCAGCTCTGGAAGGGTCTAGAGTGTCCATTTTTGCACTCAGGTCTAAGTCCCATGGCCCTCTATCAGAATCCAGAGTTTCAATAAGATTGGAAAAACTTATTTTTTCGCACCCAAAAAAAAAAAAACGACAGGGGTACCATTGTCGTTTTTTTTTTTTTTTGGGGTTGAAATTTTTAGTTTCTCTGATCTTCTTGAAACTCTGGATTCTGATAGAGGGCCATGGGACTTAGAACTGAGTGCCAAAATGGAGGCTCTAACCCTTCCAGAGCTGATATATTGCGATCCCACGTACCATTTATGCCATTTATAAATATCTCAGCTCTGAAGGTCTAGAGCCTCCATTTTTGCACTCAGGTCTAAGTCCCATGGGCCCTCTATCAGAATCCAGAGTTTCAAGAAGATTGGAGAAACGTATTTTTTTCGCACCAAAAAAAAAAAATGGAGTCCATGGGATTTAGACCTGAGTGCAAAAATGGAGGCTCTAGACCCTTCCAGAGCTGAGATATTGAGATCCCACGTAGAGGTCTTCTCGGGTCCTAAAAACTGTACCCGACCCGAATTGACCCGAATCACTGCTTACCCGAACCGACGTGCATAAATTATTTTTTTAAGAAAAAACCGACCCGAGACAGACCCGATAAAATTAGACCCGAGTCCGACCCGACCTGACGCCATTTCCGTTAGAACCCGACTGGACCCAAACGTAAACGGCATTTACAGTGTGCACAGCCTGCAGCCCTGCGTTCCTAAAAGTGCGCTTAACATAGACGCGCAAGTGCACGCTGAGTGCTAAAATGTCAATCACACATCACTGTAACCCTTTAAGTCCTATAACATTGGCATAATGTATTTACCGACCACGATGATTAGAACCACCTCAGGGTAAAATTTACCGATGGCTGTTTTTAAAATAGCCCACTTTTCATTTAAATTCTACCAGTCATTGACTTTTACTAAAATTGTGTTATTTAGCCTACAATCCCGTTGTTGCAAAGTTGTTTAGATAAAATGCGATTAAAACAGTGCATTAGAACCACAATAGCAGTCAAATTGGACGTTCTTAATTCAAATCTTAATAACGTTATTGTATCATCGCATTTAACTCCACGTCTTTTTTCCTTCCATATCAACAATGATCACAAATCATTGTTGATGAGGATGAACCTGGATGTTTCTGTTCTACATATATTTGTTTTTCCCTCACCTTTTTCGCAATATATTTGTTTTCCCTCACCTTTTTCGCAATATCTGTTTTATCGTCTCAATGCTTGTCTGACAGTGTCGCGTATTTTTAAAATTGATTGACAGGCCTGGCTAAACGACAATTCAAATACTTGCATGTAGTCAAACATCCATCCACATGATGGCGCACTAGTTCTTCTTTGCAAACGGAGGGGTTGGTTAGTGTGAGCAACTGAGTAAATAAACGCGGAGGCAACCGTGCTTAGGCTTATATCCCATTGCACGTAAAAGCGCGGATTTGCTCTCTCACTTAAAAAAAAAAAGTCTGAACGGTCAGAGTTATTTTAAATGCTCCAATTTTCTTAAATGCCCAACATTGTTTAAAATATTTTGGGTCTTCTCGGGTCCATTTGGAAAAGGCATATTTATTTTAAGTTACCCGAGACCTGAGGCCACTAATACCGAACCCGACCTGTGTCCGAGACACTCGTCGGAGTTTTGGACCCGAACCCGCTCGGGTCTCGGGTCGGACCTCGGGTTTTCAGATCCAAGTGGACCCGTGAAGACCTCTAATCCCACGTAGCATTTATGCCACTATACATATCTCAATATCTCAGCTCTGGAAGGGTCTAGAGCCTCCATTTTTGCACTCAGGTCTGTCCCATGGCCCTCTATCAGAATCCAAAGTTTCAAGAAGATTAGAGAAACTTATTTTTCCGCACCAAAAAAACGACAGGGGTACCACTGTCGTTTTTTTGGGGGGTCGAAATTTTGAGTTTCTCTGATCTTTTTGAAACTCTGGATTCTGATAGAGGGCCATGGGACTTAGAACTGAGTGCCAAAATGGAGGCTCTAGACCCTTCCAGAGCTGAGATATTGAGATCCCACGTAGCATTTATGCCATTATAAATATCTCAATATCTCAGCTCTGGAAGGGTCTAGAGCCTCCATTTTTGCACTCAGGTCTAAGTCCCATGGCCCTCTATCAGAATCCATAGTTTCAAGAAGATTGGAGAAACTTATTTTTTCACACCAAAAAAAAAACGACAGGGGTACCACTGTCGGTTTTTTTTGGGGGGGGTCGAAATTTTGAGTTTCTCTGATCTTCTTGAAACTATGGATTCTGATAGAGGGCCATGGGATTTAGACCTGAGTGCAAAAATGGAGGCTCTTGACCCTTCCAGAGTTGAGATATTTATAATGGCATAAATGCTACGTGGGATCTCAATATCTCACCTCTGGAAGGGTCTAGAGCCTCCAGTTTTGCACTCAGGTCTAAATCCCATGGCCCTCTATCAGAATCCAGAGTTTCAAGAAGATCAGAGAAACTAAAAATTTCGACCCAAAAAAAAAAAAAAAAAACGACAGTGGTACCCCTGTCGTTTTTTTTGTTTTGTTTTTTTTTGGTGCGAAAAAATAAGTTTCTCCAATCTTCTTGAAACTATGGATTCTGATAGAGGGCCATGGGACTTAGACCTGAGTGCAAAAATGGAGGCTCTAGACCCTTCCAGAGCTGACATATTGAGATCCCACGTAGCGTTTATGCCATTATAAATATCTCAACATCTCAGCTCTGGAAGGGTCTAGAGCCTCCATTTTTGCACTCAGGTCTGTCCCATGGCCTTCTATCAGAATCCAGAGTTTCAAGAAGATAGGAGAAACTTATTTTTTCACACCAAAAAAAAAAACGACAGGGGTACCACTGTCGTTTTTTTTGGGGGGGGGGTCGAAATTTTTAGTTTCACTGATCTTCTTGAAACTCTGGATTCTGATAGAGGGCCATGGGACTTAGACCTGAGTGCCAAAATGGAGGTTCTAGACCCTTCCAGAGCTGAGATATTGAGATCCCACGTACCATTCATGCCATTATAAATATCTCAACATCTCAGCTCTGGAAGGGTCTAGAGCCTCCATTTTTGCACTCAGTTCTAAGTCACATGGCCCTGTATCAGAATCCAGAGTTTCAAGAATATTGGAGAAACTTATTTTTTTTTGCACCAAAAAAAAAATGACAGTGTTACCCCTGTCGACTTTTTCGGTGCAAGAAAATAAGTTTCTCTGATCTTCTTGAAACTCTGGATTCTGATAGAGGGCCATGGGACCGGAGTGCAAAAAATGGAGGCTCTAGACCCTTCCAGAGCTGCAATATTGAAATCCCATGTAGCATTTATGCCATTATAAATATCTCAATTGCTGCGTTCCAAACCGCATACTTCCCTACTATTTAGTATGGGAAAAAGAGTAGGCGAGCGAAAGAATATGTATGAATCCAAAATAGTAGTCGAGAATTACCTGGGTGACGCACTAATTATCGCGAGATTCGGACGTACGCATACCTAAAGTGCATTTGAATATGCCTACTTTAAGTAGGCGAAAACAGTACGTGAAAGAAGCAGTACATTCGAAACATCAGTATTCATAAAAGAGTAGGCGAGAAGTGCCCGGATGGCTTACTGCTTCCGCCCAGATTGTTGAGTTCTGTCCGATGGGTAGGATACTCATGATACTCGTATCCCAGGAGGCCACGTGAGTGGATACGTCATTATCAACATCGCGGAGATCAGCGATATGGGGTTTTCAAATGTCAGTAAACGGTTCCTTGTCTTTAAATCGTATGTGTTAAACTACTATAGAGTAAACGTTTTAACTGTTGGAGGTATAAAGGACTTGGACAGTATAGTACAGTTGTGATTTTGCTGTAAACACGTTTTATTATGTATAGCTAACAGGGGAGCTCCAGTAACACGTAACGTTACGTTTCTAAAGTGGATTTACATAACCATACATCTTAAACAAGCTTATTTAAAATGTCTATTTTCATCATGAAGGAAAATATTGTATAATTATTGCAGATGAGCACATCCCAACATGAAAAATACATCTGAGTGTAACATTATGTGTGCTATTATGTAGGATAATTCACTGTTGTCAACACTGCTTACATTAGACAAATAAACAAATCTATAAAGTAACTAAACATGACGTATATTTATTTTGTCCCTTATTAGTGTTGATATATTGAGGAACATTTAAGTTGGATTAAAAGTGAGTTAACACATCAACCTCAGCATGTAATGCAGTGTTGAGCTCATACATCACAGAATGTGAATCTGTCTGTATGTTACAGGGACAGAAGAACATGTGTTTATCCGGTGAAGAGAGGCTCATGATGCTGAATGCTGTCATCAAAGGCTTTGAGTGAGTATAGTACAGAAATTGATAACATCTATTAAATCTTAAATTGTAGTTTATTTGAATTATTGTAATTTCAAACAAAGAAATTACAACACTTTTCTCAGTCTTGATTTCTGTACATTTGCTGCAGAGCTTATGTGGTGGAGCAGGACCTGCAAGCAAAGATGATGCAGCATTTGTTGAGGGGAAAAAAGGTTTTAGGGATTTTACTCAAATATAAAGTAAGGTTATTTTTAATACATAAATCAAATGACATTGGGCTGTTAAAATGACTGCTTTTGTGTAATGTTTGTGCATTTTTCTAGGATCTGACATGTCTGCAGACTGGTGTGAGTACTGAGGATGAGGAGCCCAGAGCTGAATCCTGGAAGTGGTGCCATGGATGAGTCCCTCCATCTCTCCACCTGGCCTTACGTGACCCTCTTTCGCTCCACCTGCCCTTATTGCCTCAGATTGTGAAGCGCCGCGTAGCAACAAGCTCTGGCACGAAGGCACAGTCACCTGTGGTGAATTCAGCAGAATAAAGCCGCAGAATGGGAACTGCTGAGTTGAGATGGCAGTAGGGTTTGGGGTTCAGTGCCTGTAGTTTGAATAAAGCATTGTTTCATGTGTTGTTGACTTGTATATGCATTTGTTTATTGTGCTGGTTACTTTTATTTGTTCTTTTACTCATTTATTCATGTTTCTTATTGTTGTCCGTATATAAAATATACTGTAATTATTTAATGTATGCATTAATTCTTTGATTGACTGACAATTGAGATGTTTCACTGCATTTAGCAATATAAATGTATTCATGCATAAGTTATGTCATATGACGAAACAAATTACATTTTGCTTGTTATATTAAATTATATTTTTAATATATAAAAAAGTTATATAATTAAGTATAGGTCAGCATTTAATATTATTATTTTGTTTAAGTTTTGGAGTGGGCTAACAATGCAATTCATTCTGAGGTAACATTAATTTTTAAGGAGTGATACTTACATTTTTTTTAGTATGAACTCAACAGTTTTCTCCAAAAGAAATCTTCAAGCAGCTGCCCATCACCTTTGTGCAGACATTGTAGAGGAACATTGTTCTAGGTTGTGCTGTTGAGTTACTGATGTTATGAAGTGTTAGTTCACCTGTTGCTCTGCTCTGCTCTGCTCATATAATATAAACTTATTACATGCAAGATAATGGAACGATACCATAATACAATCATAATGACAAAACAGAAAATAAAAAGATCATTGGTCTGTGTACATCATAATATTACATTATGAAATTATATTTAAACACTAGGAAACAATAATGTCACAGGTCGGGGCAGGCCAATCTGACCTGCACCCGCCCCTCGAGACCCGTACCACCCTTGGGGAGCCTGACGGAGGACGGAGCAAGGAGGATTGGGTAAAACAAGGTTTTTAATAAAGATAAAATTATTCAAAAGAATGCAGGGTCAGGGCTGCTCTGTGTCAACTTCTCCGGAGTCAATCAGGGGAAATTTACAGCACTTATTCCTTTCATTTGCAGTCTGGAGGTTTCACTGCAAAGCAGACAGGTGAGTATACAGGCATGTAACCTCTACACTGGCAGGGCCAACGGAAACTCAACATACTCAACGAGATTTGGTTATAAAGTACCTACTCTTTTAGCACTCGGTGTATTGAAATTAAGTACCTACTCATTGAGTATGCGGTTTGGAACACAGCCATTATCTCAGCTCTGGAAGGGTCTAGAGCCTCCATTTTTGCACTCAGGTCTAAGTCCCATGGCCCTCTATCAGAATCCAGAGTTTTGAGAAGATTGGAGAAACTTAATTTTTCCCCCCCCAAAAAAAACGTAAGGGGTACCACTGTCGTTTTTTTTTTCGGCCCAATTTTTGAGTTTCGATATCTCAGCTCTGGAAGGGGCTAGAGCCTCCATTTTTGCACTCAGGTCTAAGTCTCATGGCCCTCTATCAGAATCCAGAGTTTTGGGAAGATTGGAGAAACTTAATTTTTCGCCCAAAAAAAAAAAACGTAAGGGGTACCACTGTCGTTTTTTTTTTCGGGCCCAATTTTTGAGTTTCGATATCTCAGCTCTGGAAGGGGCTAGAGCCTCCATTTTTGCACTCAGGTCTAAGTCTCATGGCCCTCTATCAGAATCCAGAGTTTTGGGAAGATTGGAGAAACTTAATTTTTCGCCCAAAAAAAAAAAACGTAAGGGGTACCACTGTCGTTTTTTTTTCGGGCCCAATTTTTGAGTTTCGATATCTCAGCTCTGGAAGGGGCTAGAGCCTCCATTTTTGCACTCAGGTCTAAGTCTCATGGCCCTCTATCAGAATCCAGAGTTTTGGGAAGATTGGAGAAACTTAATTTTTCGCCCAAAAAAAAAAAACGTAAGGGGTACCACTGTCGTTTTTTTTTTCGGGCCAATTTTTGAGTTTCGATATCTCAGCTCTGGAAGGGGCTAGAGCCTCCATTTTTGCACTCAGGTCTAAGTCTCATGGCCCTCTATCAGAATCCAGAGTTTTGGGAAGATTGGAGAAACTTAATTTTTCGCCCAAAAAAAAAAACGTAAGGGGTACCACTGTCGTTTTTTTTTTCGGGCCCAATTTTTGAGTTTCGATATCTCAGCTCTGGAAGGGGCTAGAGCCTCCATTTTTGCACTCAGGTCTAAGTCTCATGGCCCTCTATCAGAATCCAGAGTTTTGGGAAGATTGGAGAAACTTAATTTTTCGCCCAAAAAAAAAAACGTAAGGGGTACCACTGTCGTTTTTTTTTTCGGGCCCAATTTTTGAGTTTCGATATCTCAGCTCTGGAAGGGGCTAGAGCCTCCATTTTTGCACTCAGGTCTAAGTCTCATGGCCCTCTATCAGAATCCAGAGTTTTGGGAAGATTGGAGAAACTTAATTTTTCGCCCAAAAAAAAAAAACGTAAGGGGTACCACTGTCGTTTTTTTTTCGGGCCCAATTTTTGAGTTTCGATATCTCAGCTCTGGAAGGGGCTAGAGCCTCCATTTTTGCACTCAGGTCTAAGTCTCATGGCCCTCTATCAGAATCCAGAGTTTTGGGAAGATTGGAGAAACTTAATTTTTCGCCCAAAAAAAAAAAACGTAAGGGGTACCACTGTCGTTTTTTTTTCGGGCCGAATTTTTGAGTTTCGATATCTCAGCTCTGGAAGGGGCTAGAGCCTCCATTTTTGCACTCAGGTCTAAGTCTCATGGCCCTCTATCAGAATCCAGAGTTTTGGGAAGATTGGAGAAACTTAATTTTTCGCCCAAAAAAAAAAACGTAAGGGGTACCACTGTCGTTTTTTTTTCGGGCCGAATTTTTGAGTTTCGATATCTCAGCTCTGGAAGGGGCTAGAGCCTCCATTTTTGCACTCAGGTCTAAGTCTCATGGCCCTCTATCAGAATCCAGAGTTTTGGGAAGATTGGAGAAACTTAATTTTTCGCCCAAAAAAAAAAACGTAAGGGGTACCACTGTCGTTTTTTTTTCGGGCCCAATTTTTGAGTTTCGATATCTCAGCTCTGGAAGGGGCTAGAGCCTCCATTTTTGCACTCAGGTCTAAGTCTCATGGCCCTCTATCAGAATCCAGAGTTTTGGAAGATTGGAGAAACTTAATTTTTCGCCCAAAAAAAAAAACGTAAGGGGTACCACTGTCGTTTTTTTTTCGGGCCGAATTTTTGAGTTTCGATATCTCAGCTCTGGAAGGGGCTAGAGCCTCCATTTTTGCACTCAGGTCTAAGTCTCATGGCCCTCTATCAGAATCCAGAGTTTTGGGAAGATTGGAGAAACTTAATTTTTCGCCCAAAAAAAAACGTAAGGGGTACCACTGTCGTTTTTTTTTCGGGCCGAATTTTTGAGTTTCGATATCTCAGCTCTGGAAGGGGCTAGAGCCTCCATTTTTGCACTCAGGTCTAAGTCTCATGGCCCTCTATCAGAATCCAGAGTTTTGGGAAGATTGGAGAAACTTAATTTTTCGCCCAAAAAAAAAAACGTAAGGGGTACCACTGTCGTTTTTTTTTTCGGGCCGAATTTTTGAGTTTCGATATCTCAGCTCTGGAAGGGGCTAGAGCCTCCATTTTTGCACTCAGGTCTAAGTCTCATGGCCCTCTATCAGAATCCAGAGTTTTGGGAAGATTGGAGAAACTTAATTTTTCGCCCAAAAAAAAAAACGTAAGGGGTACCACTGTCGTTTTTTTTTTCGGGCCGAATTTTTGAGTTTCGATATCTCAGCTCTGGAAGGGGCTAGAGCCTCCATTTTTGCACTCAGGTCTAAGTCTCATGGCCCTCTATCAGAATCCAGAGTTTTGGGAAGATTGGAGAAACTTAATTTTTCGCCCAAAAAAAAAAACGTAAGGGGTACCACTGTCGTTTTTTTTTTCGGGCCCAATTTTTGAGTTTCGATATCTCAGCTCTGGAAGGGGCTAGAGCCTCCATTTTTGCACTCAGGTCTAAGTCTCATGGCCCTCTATCAGAATCCAGAGTTTTGGGAAGATTGGAGAAACTTAATTTTTCGCCCAAAAAAAAAAAACGTAAGGGGTACCACTGTCGTTTTTTTTTTCGGGCCCAATTTTTGAGTTTCGATATCTCAGCTCTGGAAGGGGCTAGAGCCTCCATTTTTGCACTCAGGTCTAAGTCTCATGGCCCTCTATCAGAATCCAGAGTTTTGGGAAGATTGGAGAAACTTAATTTTTCGCCCAAAAAAAAAAACGTAAGGGGTACCACTGTCGTTTTTTTTTTCGGGCCGAATTTTTGAGTTTCGATATCTCAGCTCTGGAAGGGGCTAGAGCCTCCATTTTTGCACTCAGGTCTAAGTCTCATGGCCCTCTATCAGAATCCAGAGTTTTGGGAAGATTGGAGAAACTTAATTTTTCGCCCAAAAAAAAAAACGTAAGGGTACCACTGTCGTTTTTTTTTTTCGGGCCAATTTTTGAGTTTCGATATCTCAGCTCTGGAAGGGGCTAGAGCCTCCATTTTTGCACTCAGGTCTAAGTCTCATGGCCCTCTATCAGAATCCAGAGTTTTGGGAAGATTGGAGAAACTTAATTTTTCGCCCAAAAAAAAAAAAACGTAAGGGGTACCACTGTCGTTTTTTTTTTCGGGCCCAATTTTTGAGTTTCGATATCTCAGCTCTGGAAGGGGCTAGAGCCTCCATTTTTGCACTCAGGTCTAAGTCTCATGGCCCTCTATCAGAATCCAGAGTTTTGGGAAGATTGGAGAAACTTAATTTTTCGCCCAAAAAAAAAAACGTAAGGGGTACCACTGTCGTTTTTTTTTCGGGGCCAATTTTTGAGTTTCGATATCTCAGCTCTGGGAAGGGGCTAGAGCCTCCATGTTTTGCACTCAGGTCTAAGTCTCATGGCCCTTCTATCAGAATCCAGAGTTTGGGAAGATTGGAGAAACTTAATTTTTTA